AACTTCGCCCGTCTGCCCGGCTCCCCTTGCGTGTCAGCGAGTCCGTCCATCCCGTTTCTGGTGGATATCTGTTAGCGCGCCGTGCCTGGTGTTATGACCACGCGCGAGTTTGGCGCTCGGGCCCGCTCCGGGGCAGACAAGTGGCGCGAAAACAGATCAGCCGCCCGTGGCCACTGCACGACACCGGGACCTCCGCCGCCGACCTAGACACAGAGCGGCCGGCCGGCGGTCGATGCAGCCAATTTCAGAACGTCAGTCATCTCGGTCCGCCAGAGAATATCGACCTCGGAGCGCCTTCGCGCGCACGCCAGGCCGCACTCGAAGATGGAAACAGATGGCCGCCCTTCAGCACAAGTACCGGCAGTTTCTGGGATTCTTCTGCGCGAGGCCTGCTCGTGACGCTTTCCAAGGTAGTTTTCGCGACTGCTATCTAGATAATAAATTCATCCTTGATGTGAAACCCTGAGATTATTAAACTTTCGCAAAACAGCTTTGATCTGTTGCGCAAACTTTATAGAATGCCATTACGAAAAATTCAAGAGGCGTAAGCGAATTAATCGTTTACGTCGCTACGCAGAAAGCAGCCAAATAAGAAGTTTACGCCGATAAGAACGTCACAAGGGTAGGGAATTCACTATTAAAGATGAATTAGTTCGACTACAACACACAACATAAGTCGAACCACATCAGAAGAAATAAGCAAACTTAGTGCATATTGCACCAAGAACAGTAGTTCTGCTTGGGATCATTTTTAAACACGACTTACAATGAACAAGAAGAAAGTCAAGGAAAATCTGCTAGAGTAATGTAATTTCGACGAATTGTGTGCAAATGAAAAGCGCTGGTATGCTTATTCAATGAACGATCTATTATCTTAAGTCGAGTAATCACATCGACATACCTGAGTCGTTTATTGGGTTTCACTGGCATCGCTAACTCGACACATTTCTCATTCATTTTGACCCGAGCCGAGAAAATTGCCTGTTTCGAAATGGAAATCAGCGTTCTATTAGGAACGGCCGACTTCCAATTAAAGGCCTTGTCCGGCTGAGAAGCCGTGGCGACGAATGGGGAGCGGGGTGGCGGAGGCGGGGGCGGGGGCTGGGGCGGGGGCGGGGGCGGGGGCTGGGGCGGGGGCGGGGGCGGGGGCGGGGGCGGCGGTCGCGGCCTTTGGCACGAGCCGCTGATAATGGATGGGGTGCGCCGCGCCGCGGAAGTCATCGCCGATAAAATAGAGACGACCGGGCGGCAATTATTCATGCCCGCTCAATGGCGTCGGGAGAGCAGACGACGGCCGACACTAGAGTCTCAACGAGCCATTGTCGGCCGGAGACGGGCCGACCTCATCCGGAGACGCCCGAGGAATGGGAACAACCGATCACATATAAATGTATCTGTGCGTTTGATATCTCGGCTGTGTGAGTCTGTGTGTGCGTGGAAGGGTTTGTCTACATGAGACGGTGTGGACTGTGGAGCACGGCATAAGAGCGGTGAGAGTGTAGGGGCAAACCACAGAGGGCGGAGGAAACAGAGTGGAAGGAATGAGATGGAGAGGAATCATTGTGCGTACTCAGTAGCTAATGGGTCCATAATCACATATGAATTGCAGATGATTGCGGGCTATGGTGGCGGCAAATGGACCTGTACGGCCTCCCTAATGCATTCCCCCACTAACAAGCCTGCGACAGAGAGCTAGGTCACAATGCCACCAGGGTTGTATACCAATCAAGTCGATTGAATTGATTGATTTGTTTCAACGCGTATTTTGAGTTGATTGGATTGAGTCGATTGACTTTTCGAGATGACTCGTTGACTGACTCGTTTGACTTTAGCGACTGGTTGACTGATTTGATTCCTGAAAATTAGAGTGACTCGTATGATTGAGTCGATTGAATGGAAAGTTCAAATAAGTTTTAGTTGACGAAAAATAATGACACCAATTGCTGACACCAAAGATCACAAAACTACACTGAAAACGGCTTGTCATCACAACTGCAATATGGGGTAGATGGCCAAATAAAGAACAGGGCCTAAACAACATGAACAGCCAACGTTGACTTTCGACTGCAATAACTGCTCCAATCCTGGTGATAGAACCTGGCGATGCACCTACCTACCTTTCTGCACTCAGCAGGAAACGTTTTTTTTTTAATCCAGATGATAAAGTGCAAGGCCCTATATACTAATAAAGTGTGATTAATTAATAATTCACATCTCCACATCTCCTCAGAAACAGCCCACTGAACTCTATAAATATCTGAAACCCCTACAAAAAATAACTGAAACAAAAGCGCCGTTTTCGTCTCGCTGATTACCTTTACGTACAATTGATAGCTACTTTGCTGCATCGTTTAATTTGCAGCAGAACGTTTGTTGATCCTTTTCTCCTGAGAGCCTAAGCATAACATATTTAATATATTTCATTTTCCTTAAAATATTTTACCGAATATTATTAAGTGTTTTTATTTCAAATGAAATAATAATTAAAACGAAATTGGTGCTGTACAACCGATTTATTTTATGATGATCTACCATACTACATGATAATCAATGACGTCATCTTACCGCAAAGTCAAAAGAAGTAGAATAAGGATTTATAAAAGCTTAGCATACTTATTGGCAAAACCAAACGTTTTCGTTGTTTTGCAGTCGCGCCGTGCCGTTTTCCCAGAGTCCCTGTCCTCTCCATTTCCTTTTAAATATTTAATCCTCATCCCTATCCCCCAGTCCTAACAGTCTCAAATTGTATTGCAATAAAATGTTTTGAATTCTTCACATAGGTGCCTAACATTGACATGCCACGTCCAGAATCGTGGACCGCTAAATACTTCAAATCTCTTCCTTCCCAATCTGACAACATCCCATGTCTCAAATGCACACTGTGTGGAATGATTTTTCAGGCTGCCCGTCAGTCTCTGTCTAACCGAAACCGTCACATGCATGATGCAGGTAAGATATTTATTTCTATTTCCCTATGGTTAATATGTTATTGATGCATATTATCCATTAAAATAAAATAGACATGGTGTAGGGTAAATGGCCAAATCACGAACACTGCCAAAATTCGAGCAGCCAACTTTCAACTGCAATATCTGATATTTAGTGTAAATGGAGTTGGAATATGGCCAAAATTAAATTGACAACTTGTGGGTGAAAGGTGGTGATTTGGGTTAAGGGGCGAGTCAACTACTGGGTCATTTTGCACCCAATAAATGACACTTCTGCTCCAATTCTACCCATTGAACCTCAATATCATGATCCACCTGTCCATCACTAGATATCCTTCCTTATTACATAGAAAGTTTGAATGGCATGGCAATTTATAATTTTAAATGACAATATTTTTATGTTTCTTCTGTAGGTAGGTAGGTAGGTACACCAGACTGCTATGGACACTTTTCCAAGTTGGTGGGGCAAAAAAAAAACTAATGTATGTCTTGGTTTGAGTCGTTTGATTGAGTTGATTGATTCCTTTCATTGTCGCGTTTGAGTCGATTGAATCAATTCCTGAAAACTGTTCTGACTTGATTGATTTGATTGGTTTCCCAAATTTGTCGTGATTGAATTGATTGCTATTGATTGAGTCGTATACAACCCTGAATGCCACCCCATCCTGCCGTCCAATACCGGCCGTTTCCCGCAGCCAAACGTCCCCCGCTAGTGCGTATTTACGCGGCGGGGTCCGAGTTAGGGCCAAATTTGGCGCCGGCGCGGCACTGGCGGCGCGTCTCGGCCCTGTTTGCGGCGTGCAGCGGTGTGTGCCAGCCGATCCGCCGCACCAAACATGACACGGCCTGGGGAGACCCGTGAGAGCCGGGCCAGCTGGGCGGCTGCCTGGCGACCGGGCGGGCCGCCGAGCCGCCGGTATCTGGGCCCAGATCCGACACCGGCCGGCCGGCCACTCAGGCTGTTTGGCTTCCTCCGCCGTCCACCGAGCAACACTGGGATCTGATTTCAGGAGCCGGCCGGCTTTCAACAATCAGACAACGGGCTGCTCTCTGCTTTTTGTTGGCGCCCTTCCGGATACTTTGAGCAGGCGCACTGTCAACAATCAGTACGTGCGCGGAATGTCAAAAAGCCGACCCGAATTCGGCTTATTTATTTTGCTGAAGAATTCAAACATGTATTTGCAGAACTTAGCATATAGATGATGTTAGTTCTGAGGTAGTCTTGGGAAGTCCGGAAGCGTCTATTGTTCGTCCAATGCGTGGCAATCAGCCAGGGTTTCCCGGAATGCAGAACACACTACCGGAATGAACTTCAAACACGTAGCATTGGATGAAAGGGCTCGTTAGGTTCGACAGCCGTGAGCTGAAACGCTCCTGAATTACTAATTAATCGTGTTGGAACAGTATAGTCCCACTTATGACATGTTGACACAGTTTAACGGCCATCATTGGTGTGCGATTGTATGTACTCGTGGAATATACCCAGCGAGTTAATTCATAGTCGTAATAATTATACTCACATCAACAAACAGCTCGGCATCTCATCCAAACGTTGTGTAACGTTTGAAACACAAAGTAGTCGGCTTTGAAGCTAGCGGTTGTTGCTGAATCGTCAGACTCTAGCGATTAGTTTCTCATTCTCTTCCGTGAGGAGGTCAGGATCTAAAGCACCCGTGTCGATGTTGACAGTGCGCCACGGGGGACATCAAAGGTCGGAAATTCATTCAAACGCTACTCCGAGACGAGCGCCAGTTCTTCTGCCCGGGTGCTATACTAGTCGACTGACTCGAAAAATGTAGCACACATAGTAAAAATGTGGCGCTTTATGTCGGCAACAATATACATGATGTGATTACACTTTTCATTACTTAAATGTGTTGCATTGATGGAATGAAGTAAGTACAATGTGTAGTACGTGTACATAATGCCCGAAATCCCAGCCCAATCGAAGTTGTCAACCGTGGAGCATCTAAACAGAACTCGCCCCGTCGTATGAATGAGTACTGCATGTGCGTCACCACAATATCCCGGACCCATCATCCTCGTACTCACCATGGCGTAGGCAGTCTGTCCGTCGTCCGTGTGGTCGCCCAGCTCGCCCAGAGCCGTCTGGTGATCGAGCTCCATCTGCTGCCGCCGGCCCCGCTTCAGCGTCTCGCGGTGCATGTCCGAGCGGCTGGCGTAGTTGACCAGCGCGAACTCGAGCATGGCGCCGAACACAAACATGAGGCACACGCCGGTCCACACGTCGATGGCCTTTGTGTAGGAGACGGGCGGCAGGGCGGCGTTGATGCCGGACGTCTGGGTGGCCATGGTGAGCAGCGTGGTGACGCCCAGTGAGACGCGCGCCGGCACGGCGTTCTGGTCCAGCCAGAACGACACCCACGACACGATCACCAGCATGCAGCAGGGCACGTAGATCTGGATCAGGTAGTAGGAGAACTCGCGCTTGAACAGCAGGTCCACCGTCAGGCAGCTGTACTCGCCTGGGGGTGGGCAGGGAGCGCGGCTCAGTGGGCAGCGGTGGGGAAATGCTCAGAATTGACTGCATGAGGGGAAGTGAGTATGTATAATAACCTCGAACAAAACATAAAGAGACCTGCATAATTGTGCATTTCTGCTCGTCTGAAGCGAAACAAAAGAAATGACGCGTTAGCAGAATGCCCGCGGTGAGCGACGCACATTAGGTAATTGAAAACATGGAGTCACGAGTAACCTGCAAAAATCGATTAGAGCACGGGACCCTATGAAACAGTACCTGTGTTTGTTTTGCTGTTACAATAGGCGGTCTGAAATTTCTCCAGTGTAAACCTTGGCAGATGAAGACCGTCGTCAATTTGCACTGGGTCATCTTCCTTCCACACAAATATCAAGTCATCCGTCTTCCAAGCATCTGGGAAGAAAGATAAATCGTGAAAATTTATAAAGGAAACGCTACACATACGGACCAGCGTTGTTAGCTTTGGTTCCGTTCCGTCAATTGCATTTTTGCGTAAGGCTGTTTTTATCCGTCTGAATTCACATATGTTGCCAAATTAGACTACTAATTGACGTTCACCATCTCTAAAAAGGGAAATGAGAAAACAAACAGTTGCGCTGTGCATCACTAATTGGGTTTTTGAGACAAAGTTAAGTCAAACAGTTCCGTTGAAAAAAAAATATTGACAATGCTTTTGAAGCAAGTTTCCGTCCCACACGGAGACTGAAGTAAAGCAGACCGACGACTTTCACCAAAACATTTAACGAGATAACTTAGTTTCTAGAAAGTTAACTCAACTAATCGTTTTGCTCCTCAACCGAAGAAACCCAAACTGTTTAAGACACTCACAGCTGGCCATTTTGAGCGAGCACGTCTGTTTGTCGAGCGGATAGAGCTTCAGGTCCATCGGACACGACAGTGTCAGCGATATCCTGCCAAACAGAGGGAGAGAGCACATTGTGAGAATGCACCGGTGCAGAGCATACAACACCCATAGCCGAACTTTGCGGTGTCAAGACACGAAGAAACTTCGGTCTGCTCGGATGACTTTTCCTGAAATGGTGTCGATGTTACTACCAATACATCCATTCATTTACACGTTTCATTACATTAATGCATTCTCTGAGACGAAATTGGAGCGCCAATGTCAATTTCTGTTTCCCGTTTGCGCCACGGACGTTCGCCCATTATCGCCTCATCGCGCGCGCTGCTGGGTGCTGAGTGTCGCTGACTGGGCCGACAGCTGCGACGCCTGCTAATGACGCACGCGACACGCGCGGCCACCCCGTGCGGCGTGCCGAGCCGCGGTGACGCCCGCTGACGTCGTCCGCTCGCGGAGTCACGACCCGCACCGTCCGGCCAGCCCTGACGGCCGCCGCTCAGCCCGCGCCGCCCGGCCGGTTTAAGTCTGCGCGCGTTATCGGGCGGCCGCTGCAAAAACGCCAGCGCAGTGTCCACATAAATCTGCCACGGAGGATGGACGGTCGACGAGCAGGGTCAACACTGCTCTCGGCGCCCCTTCGCGCCGCCGCCGGCGTCCCGGCAGTCCGCCGCCCGACCGGGGGCTCCCGCTAGCGTGTCGATCCGCCATCGGCGAGGCGGCGGCGAGTTATCCGTCCCGATACAAGTTAGGACTGGTAGAAACCAAACTGCCTGCAAAGTATCCTCGCTTTACTGCAAACGGAAGTCATACATATTCAAAGTTGAACTTGTTCAAAGCGAAGCTGTTGGGAGTTAACCTTTTGAAAACAAGGCGGCTGATGAGTGGGCTGCTCGTGCTCAGCATCACAGACAAGCGACAGCACGAGGGAGGGGAGAAGAAGAGGGAAACACGGAGGAACACCGTGTCCCTGAATGTATCAGAGGTCCCAAGTGCGCTATATAAATGACAAATAAAAAGCGATAATAAGTTGCATTCAAGCCATACCTGCCATTGGGTGCATCTGGTTTTGTAAAGATTGCTTAGAAGACAAATAGCAAACATCATGAAGTTATGCCTAAGTGCTAAGGCCAAAGAAGGCGGTAAAGAGTTAAGTCCCGTTCGGCCCGTTCCTCGCGAATCATTTTGCCGCTATGCTACGGTAACCGTTCACTTTGTGAACGAGCATACTTATATTTTGCCGTGCCAAGATGTCCGTCTAAAGCATAACTTTTTGTTTCTTCTTTTTTTTTAAATTCGTTAATTGACAAAGCCAGTGCCAGACATGTTCCTAAATTTCATACAAGCTAGAGCTGAAGAAAAGCCTTTCCACAGAAGAAAAGCCTATCTACACAAAAACAGCCGGTTAGAGCTCCTTCCGACTCCCGCTCTAGCGAATCGCACCTTTCCGCAGTTTGAATTGCGACCGGACGGCCGAAAGCCAAACGAAGAGCCGGGACACACTGTTGTGCATTGCTCGGGATGAAAGAACGCTGTTATCTTCAGGAACGGGCCACAGGGTGTCCTCAGACGGAGCACAAACACATTTAGTCGCGACAAACCGGCAGCAGCCCGTTGTCGCAGCACCATTTCGCTGTCGTTGAACGAGCTAACACTCCGCGATTGGGGGACTCAGCACCGGCTCTCTGCTGCCAATTTCTTAAAGGCGTCGAGGGAAGATTCGATTGAGTAGGAACTCAAGAGACTAAAGGTCCAAGAAATCAGGTGGATCATTTAATTCACAGTCGGGTCGAAATTAGAAGAGAGAGAGAGAGAGAGAGAGAGAGAGAGAGAGAGAGAGAGAGAGAGAGAGAGAGAGAGAGAGAGAGAGAGAGAGAGAGAGAGAGAGAGAGAGAGAGAGAGAAAGAGAGAGAGAGAGAGAGAGAGAGAGAGAGAGAGAGAGAGGAGAGAGAGAGAGAGAGAGAGAGAGAGAGAGAGAGAGAGAGAGAGAGAGAGAGAGAGAGAGAGAGAGAGAGAGAGAGAGAGAGAGAGAGAGAGAGAGAGAGAGAGAGAGAGAGAGAGAGAGAGAGAGAGAGAGAGAGAGAGAGAGAGAGAGAGAGAGAGAGAGAGGAATCATCGATTCTCTGGCCGTTAGGACAATTATTCTAAAAACAAGCGGTATGTTTTTGTCGTAAGGCCCAATCAAAGGACCAGCCTTCCTTGTTGATTGGACCCGCCCAAGGACCATCATATCCTTCTGAGTTTCTCCAACTACCGTCCCCTCTAGTGATGTCAATTACGGAAAATCGGAATACCGATACCAAACCAAATACCAACCAAAACCACGGGAAAATACCGAAACCAAACAAACTTGGAAACTGAGGGAAATACCAACTTTTTACCGATTTCTTAGCCTCTTATACATTAGTGAGGGCTTATGATACCAACAAAATACCAAACACATTACGATTGAAGTACCAAATGCCAAGTTGGTATCGGTTTGGTATCGGTAACCAAAAGTTGGTATCCGATTGACATCTCTAGTCCCCTCTCAGCCTCATCCAAGAGCCGCCAGCCGCCATCTGTCGCGCGGTCAACACTAGGACGCCATCGTCCGTCTGCGAGCGGCATCATCAGCCGGGCGTCGTCGTAACCGGCGGCGCCCGGTCAGATTGTATTGTCGGCCGGGGAGCGGCCGTCGCCAGCGGCGCAGCTTGTCACTGAGTGGCAGCGTCCATCGGAGGCCGTCGAGACGGCCCGGCGCCGCGCCGGCCGACACATTGGCCGGTCGGGAGCGCGGTCCGGCAGCCGTTCACGGCCCTCTGCCCGCGGGCCGAGAGCCGTCCCCTGTGACCGCCGGCGGCCCGTTCGCTGAAGTGGCGGTGTTCAGCGCTGATCGGACGGCGCCGTGGCGGCGACTCGGGCGGCAGTGACGCTGATTACCTCCCGCCGGAGCGGCGGCCGCCCGGCAGACCCACTCACAAATAGCGGCGGCAGCGACCACGCCAGCAGGGTCGCGGTCGCACTGAAAGCCGTGCACCGCACATACGCTGCTGATTGCCTGGCGTTCGTCGCGGCTACTTGACGACGGCAGACAGCAGGTGGCGTCAGCACATATCCGGCTGCGCCACCAGCACTGCTCCTGACACAAGACACCGGCCTGAAAATAGCCCTCATCTGCCGCTCGGACTCACATTCCCAGCCAGCATATTGTGCCGGTCAGGGCGCTCCCGGATGGCCGCCAGGCATGGATGCAGTCAACAATGGCAACGCCTGTTCTATTCTAATATTAATAAACAGCTCACATTTGGCAAGCCAATAACGTACGCTTATATAAGCTCCTTCTTATGTAACGTTTTATATAAAGCAATACTCAGCGAGGAGCTTAATACAATACCAGTTGCCTTATTTTACCACCACACGAGATGACAGGTCAATATCTTCGGTAACTGTCACCTAAGAAAGGTCGTCGAATCGAAAACAGAGCCATTTCGGCATGCTCCATCAGCAAGCAGGACCGCCCAGCGCTGAAGACGCGACGCTTGTTGATGTCTTTCTCATATGCGGCATTTGGATGCAGATTATAAATAACACGACTGTTTGCGCTCGTCGGAAGGCTGATTAAACTCTGGGTCATCAAGTTTTGTGGAACAAACATAACCGAACGGGAACAAACAGCGCGGGTGAAACATGAGGGAGTAAACGAATTTGATCCTTGTGAGTTAGCGTTATTACATGCCATAAACTAGACACAGTAGGTTTTATTGGGCGTGTAAACAGGTTTAATGACGAGTCCAATTTCAGGGCCATTGTATTCCTGCTCCACGGACGTTTAATGGTTGCCGTGAACCTTTCTGCATGGTTTGAGACGATTTGTGAACAAGACAACAGACGGAACACTTCAAGTCTCATGTAACGTAGACTACTTCCTGTTAGACGGATGTATTCTTTTCACTTCAGAAAACACTTTGAGAATGAACTAAGCTATGAACTAAGCCCATCAGCCGCGACGAATTGCAGAAGTTCTCGCGCAGCACAACCGCGCGCATACAGCGCGGTTGTGTCATGTCATGTCATACAGCGCGCTGTATGACACTGAACGGTGACTGAAGAGTGGAGCAGGACCAACAAGCTATTCGCCCTCGCACATTACAACTCATTACAACTCAATCCAGTCCGCGTCCCTTCCCAGGGTTGGAGCCCACGCGACCCCGACTAGCCACCTTGGTAACCGGTGCCCAAACGTTCGACCAGCCCGGTCAGTCGAAACTTAGCGGGCGCCACTCGAACTCTGCGCATAATGCACGGAGCCGTTACGTGTCCAGCGTGTGGTCGTCAATCATCCAATGGTCTCGGGACTGGGGTAGAGAGCGCCGGGTCGCCGGGTCGCGCCGTTAGCCCTAATTTCGCACCGCACAAATCGTCGCTGCTATCGACGTACGACGGCGACATAATCACGACTCAATCGCACACATGACGAACGGGCTTGCAATCGGTGCGCGCAAATTATGGTGAACAGATTATGTGGCGATTGACCGTCGGGGAGCGGGAATGGTATTGGGGCAGACTGACCACACCCGGGCCGGGCCCGATCGGAAAGGCACGGCCTGTTGAGTTACGAGTGTATTGCCAGGAATGGAAATTAGCGACCTCCCGATCAGTGCATCACGTGATCGATACACCAAGGAAAAAATCATACCACAGTATATACAGCCTCGTCCCGAGTTAAATCCTAAAATCAATGAAGGACACCAATCGACTAAGGATACCGCAAATAACTAGTTGTCCAAGGGTGAATGGGTAGACGCACGATAAGTCTTTACGGTTGGATGCTAATTTCTATCCAAGCTGCATTTCTCCATAATTCCTTTTCCACAAACCTAACACAATTCCAAGGCATTCACAAGCACAACCAACATTAAACTAGGTCAGAGTAGCACCATTCAATGTTGACTTTAATATGTTCAGCGCCTTGAATGATACTTGCTTTGTTCAAGTTGAGTTTGCAGGCATGATGTGACCCAGGTTACAGGAGCTGATTACGTTCTACCGAACATGGGTACTAGCAAACGTGGCTGTAATGCCGAGCGGAATTAAAATGAAACTGGTTTGAACAACAGCATGATTCTACTCAGAAATAAGCCCATCAGTGGCGCCACTTAAAACGAAATAAACCGTTCTGGGCATTCAGCATTCGCCAGCATTACTTGGAGAAAAATAACAAAATAAAAGTGCGGAGAGCGCATAATGGAAAACTACTACGCTGAAAACTTTTTTTGGCAGATGAGTAATAATCGCTTAAAAATTATAATGTTAAAATACTTTAGCTGAAGCAAGCAGCCAGGAGCTCCCAGCCGGAAAGAATCCAGCTGGCTGGGATAGACGACTGAAAGCTGCCCAGCTCTAGAATGGTGCCATAACTTTCTGCTTAATTCTTGCAACTGTGCTTTAACCACTTTCAGAAACAAATGTCATGCATATATCGCGCACGAATGGAATGTTAAACACGACGATTTAGACATGGGCCGAATCGTCCAGACGGCCGCCGCCTGGCCCGACATTAGGCTGGTCATTTCTCAGGGGGTTAATTACGGAGC